CAGATTGGAGGTTAAAATTTGGAAAACTTTTGAGATACTGTGCTCTACCAACATGTGAAGGACATAGAAACGTGTCATCTGCCACTGATTCCCACAGACAAGCATATGGCTTATAAATTACAGCAGCCCAGAAGTTTTCATATTGGTTTGGTGAGAGATCTTTAAGAAGTGATTTTTTTTCAAGTTTTGCCCAACTCCAGACTTCTGATATAAGAGGGAAGAAGATATAAAACACAAATACCAATGTTTCTCCTTTTATCTTTGCCATTCATACCCTTTCTCCTTCCAGTCCTCCTTTCTTTCTTTCCTTCCTTTCTTCTCCTTTTTTTCATTCCATCTTTTTGGAAGTATGTAGTGAACATCTTTGTCACTAGATATTAGTGCTAAACACAATCTTCAAATTCAAGAGAGATAGTTGCTAGATGAGTTTCTCTGATTAAGTTATTTTTAGATGCAGAGTATATTTAAGAGTTTAGTATATTTAAGAGTATAGAAGAGCTTCTTAGAGAAAGATGTATATTTCTCATGTAATATTCTTCCTCAGCTTTAGTCATTTGCTTCTATTTATAAATTTAAGTATACAGTTGTGAATCTGACTTAAAAAAAAAGTGTCAATGAAGACAAGTAAGGAAGAAATAGCACTTTTAACAAGACATGATGCTAGCATACCAGCATATGAATACTAGCATAATAGTGTTGACATTAGTCTGAATTCCTTCTCTCTCGCTCTCTCTCCATCCATCTCTCCCTCTCTTTCTCTTGTTCCTCCCTCTATAAAAGAGGTAAATAATTATGTTTCAATTATACATGGGTTTATTGAATCCAAATACTATCCTGTCCCAGGAAAACCAAATATACAAGCCTATAGTATTATATATGTTGATATGTTAAAACAAAACAAGTGCCCTAAATGTTTTGTTTGTCTTCTTTGAAAATCAAGACTCTGAGAGCATTAAACATGGGAGAACAAAGTTAAGGTAGTATTTTTCAATATGTAAAAATCCCAAGTCTCCAGCATTTTGGTTTACAAACCCAAATCCCAACTGGTTTTGCAGCCTTTGTGAAGTTTGATTAGAATGATTAAATGGGTTTTAAAGAACAATGTAAACCTCCCAGGTTGAGGCCACACAGCCCAGCCAACGTGTTTCTTCTAGATGCCCTCTGAGAAGAGGGTTTCAGTTTACATGGAACACTGGCCTCTGAGACCAGAGAGCAAGTTTGCTTTTAGCAAGTCTGTGTGATAATCATGATATTGAACCTGTTAGTCAATGGTATGGCTTTTATTCCTCAATAGGCTTTTTGTACATGAGATGCTCATTAAAAAGTCACCTTATTTGCTGACTTTCTCTTTGAGAGATTTGTTTTCCCCTGGCTTTGAAATGTAGTGAAACCCTTTTTGAGAAAAATCCTCTCTCTTCAGTAGATTTTTAGATACACCTGGATCACATCATGGTCCCTGAAACATAACAACTGTACAGACTAACCTAGTGGAACAACATTAGCTTTAATGACAATAGGCACCATCCTCCAACTACAGCTATGATGCTCATTTCCATTAGACAACAACTTCTGTCTTCCCCATTCCTATTCACTATGGGATGAGCCAAACAATCTTACTGTTGTTCTCAAAGATCACATCACATACTGCTTTTCTACCAGGATATTTTGTATAGATTTAAATTTACTCTGCATAATCATTCTACTCAAGGGAACAGATGAATGGTGATGGAGTATTTGTGCATTAATGGATCTGCCTGCCAGAGGGACTAACTTGAAGGAAAACTTTCCTTTAAGGGTTTAATTTTGTTAAAAGTCATAGAACATTTATGAGCATCTCATTGGTGGAGGGCACTTACAATCACCTTGACGTCTCCTCTCAAGAGAAGTTACCTGCACTTTTACAGATGAAATTGGATGGAAGTTCCTAGGGACCTACTCAACATCATTAATACAAAATGGCAGGGCAGAGATTAGGATCTATGCTTTCCATAGTAGACTCTGTTCCTTCAGGGACATTTCCCTCCCTCCATGAGACAGGTCTCTGAAAGGCACTGTGGTGTGTTGGACCCTCCTGGCTTTCCCTTACTTCAATTCATGTTCTAATGTTCTAATGACAAAAGGTGATGCAGTACACCAACTCTGACCGTAAGTAGTTTATTGATGAAGACATTCAAAACTAATGAACAATTCACAGGACCCACTTGACCGTTACATACAGGTCCTAAAAGCCAGGAGATTTCCTTTTGTCCTGGGAAAGCAGCTGAATCAGTTACAGTTTGAGTTTGCTAAACTGCTTTCTCTAGTAACAGATGCTCCTACACTAAGAAGAGGTAGCATTGTTAAAGTAACAGCCCAGCCACAGTCTTTGGTATTAAACAGAACTGGGGTCAAATGTTAGTTTTGTGTGTGACCTGGAATTAGTCATTTAACATTTCTTAGAAGAATAGACTTAGCTTCTCATCTACAAAATAAAAGAAATAATAATGCCCACTTTTCAGGCTGCTGTAAGGTTTGAAGTGACACATGTGACTGACTTAACCCAGTGTCTGGGGTATTTTAAATGCTTAATAAATTTGATCTAACATTACAACCAAATAGAGTTTGGGTTAATTCACAGAACTATTACATTTTAAAGGCAGATGTCTATCTATCTATCTATCTATCTATCTATCTATCTATCTATCTATCTATCTATCTATCTATCTCTGTCTTATCTACCTACCTATCAATCCATCTATCTACCTACCATCTATGGCATATATGTGTACATATTTGAGATATGTAGTATGATATAAACTATTATTTATGTTATTTATCTCTTTTTACTGGGAAGATTGAAATGAAAAAAAGGAAAGTATTTGGTTATATTGTTATAACTGTCACAATAGCTCAATTTAAGTTTTTGTTGTTGTTTTGTATATGCTGGTCTTGGAGCTTGAACTCAGGGCCTGGGCACTGTTTTGTTTTGTTTTGCTGAAAGCTAGTGCTCTACCACTTTAACCACAGCTCCACTTCCAGCTTTTTGGTGGTAAATTGGAGATAAGAGTCTTGTGGAATTTTTTTCCTGGGCTGGCCTTGAATTGGGATTCTCAAATCTCAGCCTCTTGAGTAGCTAAGATTAAGCCTGTACTCAGTACCAGTGACACTGATACAGTATCACTGCATCAGGTAGTCACTAGCTCTAAATCTAAGGGATGGGAAGGGGAAACAAAGGAGGAGGCAACAATGTTTGATAAGAAATGTACTCATTACCTTGCCCATGTAATTTATAACCCCTCTGTATGGTATTTTCACACACACACAAAAAGTACAAAAAAAGAAAAAAAAAGATGGTTTGTACTGTATACAAATAAAAAAATTGAATAAATGTTAGAAGAATCTGAAAAGACGTTTCACAAAAAAGAAACTTCAATAGCCACATGTATATTAAAATTAGTCAACCCCAGAATCAGTCACAAAAAAAGCCACAACAAATGTGTGTGTGTGTGTGTGTGTGTGTGTGTGTGTGTGTGTGTGTTTGTTTGTGTTTTTTTTTTTTTTTTGCCAGTCGTGGTGCCTGAACTCTGGGCCTGAGCACTGTCCCTCAGCAATTCAGCTCAAGGCTAGCACTCTACCACTCAAGCCAGAGTGACACTTCCGGCTTTTTCTGCTTATGTGGTACTAAGGAATCGAACCCAGGGCTTCATGCATGCAAGGCAAGCAGTCTACCACTGAGCCACCTTCCCAGCCCCAACAAATGTGATCAACAAAACGGCAAGAATTTAAAAAAAAGTAAAATACAAACAAGTTATTCTGATATAAGTTACATATTTGCATTAAGCTAACTTTGGGATGATTCTTAACATACAGAACAATATATACTAAATTTTCTTCATCCAGGAAAGTAGAAAGCCAATGTTTTTATAGAAGGTAAATATGCAGTGCTATGTATATGCACAAGTGTGGATATATTAGTGTGTTTGGGAATTGGAACAGAGGCTTCAAAAATTAGGAAACTTAACTACTTCATAAACAATGTTAAAATATGATTCAAAGGTAAGTAAGCAAGTTACACCAGAAAAATCTGTGAATGAAAGCAATGAAACAAACTCTTGAGGTGTCTGAAAATATATTTATGCCAGGTTGTGGAGCAACCATGATTTCCATTCCAGGGACAAACACTGGTGATTTTTGCAAGGTTTTTTTCTTCTCTCTTTGCTTTAGATGAACTGATTGACAGGTGACTGTTTTTGGCATGGAACAGGAAATTAGTCATGTAAAAAGATGGGGACTAGAATTATGAATTGGAATTTCCATGTATTTTTCTTTAAGTTTAGACTTACTTTTTTTTTTCTTTTGCCAGTCCTGGGGCTTGAACTCGGGGCCTGGGCACTGTCCCTGAGCTTCTTTCGCTCCAGGCTAGCTCTCTACCACTTGAGCCACAGTACCACTTCTGGCTTTTTCTGTGTATGTGGTACTGAGAAATCGAACCCAGGGCTTCATGTATGCAAGGCAAGCACTCTACCACTAAGCCACATTCCCAGCCCTAGACTTACTTTTCAGTAGCTATATAGATATAAGTGCTTTGTGAGCTTAAATTAATGTCAAAGGTAATTTTAGTAACTTTAATTACAATATGGAAAGAAAATCTTTATTATTCCTTCTCTGAAATACTATTTTATGGATTACCAGAATGTGAGAATATTTCTTTGATTACTAACAGAGAGAGCTAAAAGCCAAATAGGACCAAAGTGTGTTCATTCATTTTGGAGCTTGCTCCAGGGGAGTCTTTGAGGGTGAAGGGTTTTGTAGATGCCTCTTTGCCTGCAATGAAAAAGCAGGGAGGAAGAATCTGTTAAAACATGCAGAAAATAACCATTAAAGGACAAAGGGGTTATTAAAACAATCTTGATACCTCATCTGCAATCTAGAACGTTCTTACTTGCAGTGTATCCCTTAGTGCAGGACTTATAAATAAATGTCAGGTAGAGAATGACATGACTTCCTCTCTCATTTTGCAGAAAGCAGAAGCCACTGGAGAAAAACGGCCAAGAGGCAGACCTAGGAAATGGGTGAGTGATAAGATATCATTTCCGTTCTGGTGAAGAAAAATGTCCCTCTTTTTTTTTTTTAAGAAAGAAAAATTCATTTTAGTTTCTGGATGATACAAATTCTTTAAAGTTCTGGTTCGATGAGCTTTTGAAAGGGTCGACAAGCGGCAGACACTCTTCTTACTGCCATGGTATCCCAGGTTTACTCCAAACACTTTCTTTTCCTGAAGGTGACTCCCATTTCTATCTCTTATCAACATCAAAGGAATCTCCCCTCTTCTGGCAGATGGAGTAACAAGGAGATCACTTGTTCTACTGGTAGAGTAACTAGGGTTAAAGGTATTCTGAAGCCTTGGTAGTTAATTATAAATGGCGATAAAACCCAGATGAAATGTAAGGGAGTTAACTTTTTAATGCTTTCTTTTGTTGGTTCCTCCACAGCTTTGTTAAATACTTCTCACTTACCAGGTAGTTTGTGTTTTCATTTTCAATTTTTTTTTTAACTTTAGAAAGGGGTTTGATTTCTAGTTCTTGCTTCTCGTCATCATTCTCCACAGACACACGTTGAAGACAGTTTTACACACACACACACACACAGACACACACACACACACACACACACACACACACACACATGCTGAATCCTGTGTAGAAGCTAGATATCCAGTTGTAATAATAGAATTTCACTTATGTTCTCTTTCTTGCCACATTCTCCATGTTCTTTTGTCCTGTTTTTCCTATAGAGGAAAAGAGTTTTTTGGTTATTTTTTTCCCAATAGAGTAGAAAAGTCTTAAAAACAAACAAGACTATTCTTAAGAAGTTCACAGGGAACCTCTGTACTTAGTGTTTTCTTTAATGGGTTCTTTGACTTCCTTTCTCTAGATTTGTATGCTCTGCCTTTTCATACCTCTTTCTATGCTAAAGTATATATTTTCTGTTAGTTTTGTCATTCCTTTCTCTGCCTGAGTTCTGCATCATGATCTGTTTACACTTTGGTACAGCTTTGCATTTAACTTAATCATCTTGGATTTCTCTTTTCTCTGCTGGGATTAGATATTATAGGGATGATCTTTAGATTAAAAGCCTCTCAATGTTGCAGTGTACCCTGAAAGTCAAGGCATTTCCTTCAGCCTGATGTTCAATAAATGAATTCAATCATGACAAGGTGGGTGTCATGATTGAATAGTGTTATGCCTTACTACCTCAAATGTTAGGGAAATCACTGCTACCTCTTAAGGCTACCTTCTCTTTCCTGGAACGCTCAGAATATTAGAAAGTCTTCTATTTGACTCTCTATGATTTCTGCCACTGCCTGGTCCTACACAGAATTTTTTTTTTTCCATTTTCATTCTTGTTAGCTCTTGGAATATTTGAGGACAACTAACACAAATTCTTTGTTCTCTTTTCTGGTTTGAGTATATCCAGTCCTTTACAATTTTTCCTCCCATAAAGGAACATTCTTGTTAAATTTTTTTCTGAGCATGTTTGTTTTTAAATCTTTTTGAAATGTGCCACTCAGAACTAAATATAATATTCTAAGTGTGGGCTCTTGTATGAGTGGTCTTATTACCTTTATGGTTGCACATATTAGTTGTTTATCTAATGTGGCTTAATTAACTGTTCCAGAAACTTCATAGTGTAAAATTCAACTATTATATAGTGTTCATGGATTTTTTGAAGGGGGTTTAAGGATATGTATGGATAGGCCAGAGCAGAAGGGCCTGCCTTTGTTCCAGGATGTCTAGGAGACTCCAGCACACAGGCATGACTTCACACATGGAGTCTAGAAGTTGGAGGCTTCTACACATATAGGTCTGGTCTTTTGACTGGCTGGAAGAAGTTTGGATTGTCTGGAAGTGTCTGCTGTATTACTCACACAATCAGGTTGTGTGTGGTGGTGTCTCTAAGTGTAGTTACCTTCTGATCTTCATTCAAGGTTCTCAAGACAGTGTTCTGGTAATTGAGAAACTGGGAGGCCTTTTTTATTTAATTGTGAAAATACTGTACAGAGGGGTTACAATTACATGGACAAGGTAATGAGTACATTTCTTATCAAGCATTGTTGCCTCCTCCTTTGTTTCCCCTTCTTATCCACCCCCCACCAAAGTTGTAAAGTTCGTTTTTTGACCTAACGTCTTATATATCTCATTGTTACAATGGGTTCACCTGTATCCCTATTTAAACAATTTGTTTTTTCTATTCCCTTCCACAAATTATACTTTTGATTCAATCTCACAATTAAAAAATTGTCATTTCCATTATGGTCTTGTTAGTGCATTGATGTAACTAATTGATAATGACAGATATACCAAATAAATACTCTTGTCTGAAGCATCAGAATGTTCAAAGGACATCCTATCCCATTAATGAATTGGTAAGTAAGACCTGTATGATCTTTCTAATAGGCAACAGAAGAAACAACAGATGAGCTTGTTGAAGTCATAGGATTACTGTAGCTAAAACAAAACAAAATAAATTATAAGCAAATGCAGTGAAAATTAACCATCCAAATGCCCTCCATCAAATGTGACCTCTGATGTCTCTACCTTGCATTTCTTCTCCCTTTGGGCTATTGTTAATGTAATTACATTACTACACTTCACAGAACCTTATATAATTCCAGAACTGGCCAGTGAATACATTGCAACCTGCCCCAGTGCTTCAGAGGCCTCCATCTTTCCTCCTGGTTCCAATTTTAATAGCTGTATTTCTTATCTCTCATCCTTACATTGCTGGTGTTTTTACCAGGTTGCAATATAGAACAATTAAGCATGCATAGGTTTCGTTTTGTCTTTATTCAGCAGATTCATGCTTAGTAGAAACCTAGATTCCCGGCATCTGATATTCATTTTTTAAAATATATTTCCTCATAAACAATATATAAATATGCAAAAACTATTAGAAGGGCCCTTAGGTACTTTATGATCCTAATCCTCTGTCTTTTCCCCAAAACATTGTTATCAGTTTGTTGGATATACTTCTATTCCATTTTCTTTTTTTTTTTTTTTTGGGTCCGGTCGTGGGGCCTGAACTCTGGGCCTGGGCGCTGCCCCTCAGCTCTTCAGCTCAAGGCTAGCGCTCTACCACTTGAGCCACAGCACCACTTCTGGCTTTTTTCTTTTTGCTTATGTGGTGCTGAGGAATCGAACCCAGGGCCTCATGCATTGCAAGGCAAGCGCTCTACCACTGAGCCACCTTCCCAGCCCCTTCTATTCCATTTTCTGTACACACACACACACACACACACACACACACACACACACACACATACACACACACACACATTCAATTCACAGCTAAACATATTCCAATAATGATATATTCTGGGGCATAAGTTGTTTTCCTAACATAAAAGCTAACAAGCGAAGCCCATGTGAAAGGTGCTCACAGACATCATGGCCTCCCTGGGAAGAGCTGGGCGATTCTCATTGGCTATCTTGGTTTCTAATTTTTACTGGCTGTGAGAATGGAAAATTTCATGTGGTGAACTGTTGCAAATCTCTGATTTGGTCTCTAAAGCAGATTTGTTCTACTTAGAAGAGGAAATAAAAGGAAATTGTATATTTTTTCTAGACAACATGTTTCCTCTTGGCTTGGGTATCATCTGTGCGTAGAATGTACATCCAGTCCCAGCAGGGCATTGTATTCCATGGCATTCTTTGCTACAGGGCTTGTACTGAAGAAATAAATCATTGCGTTTTCCATAGGAAATGGGTTTGTACTTTCTAGTGAGTTCAATTCTTTCCAACAGTGTCATTCGCTGATTTCCTTGAGTTGGGAGATATATTTTTGAACTGACTGGATTTATTAGGTATATGACTTAGAAGCCAAATATTTCCCCTGTTATTCTTGTGGGGTCTTTTTTTGTATACGTTCTTTTGCTTTTAGAAATATATCCTGTAAATCTTACAGATTCATGTGACAAGTCTAAAAGAAAGAAAAAATATTTGTGCTGGAAACCTTTCATTGAATGATTGGGAAGAGTGATTGGGAGTTTAATTAACTGAAGACTTAATTGTAGGTGTGTGTCCTGATTCTACTGTGGGGGAAACAGTAGCCGGTCCACAGGTTCAGTGGACATGGTAAAGATCACTTCTATTACTTACTTTCTGCCCTTTCTTTGTCTTTTCCACCCTAGTTAGAGTTAGATGCCTGGACTACTATTATGATTGGATTATTCTATTGTTATTTTTTTCAGTTTATGTGTATAGAAGAAATGAGAATGGAAAGCAAAAACAAGGCTTCAATTTTCTTCTAGTTTACTTAGAATATGGAGCTCAGTATCTGCATTCAGATGGCTTGGGTTCAAATTCTAACTCATCACTTAGCTAGCTATCATCTTGAACAAATGGCATGACCTTTTAAAAGTCTTGTTTCTCATCTATGAAAGGTAGATTTCTCATAGGATCCTCACAGAGCTTAAATAAAGGGCATGGCACACTGTGTCAATCATTAGAAATTATGATTAATTCTACATTACACCCTAAGCTGTAAATACTTACAGCCATTAGTGGTTACCCATTGAATGAGTAACATCAGACTAAGTTCCCCTGCTGGTATTATGACTTCATTATATTTGTGCTGAATATTATCAGGAATAAAAGAAATATTTAAGTATGTTTTGTGTCAATTTACAGAAGGAGAAAGTATGAGCCTTTTTTTTCTTTATCCATTTGGTGATACTGGACTTTGAACTCAGGACCTCTTGATTACCAGGCAGGTACTGTACCCATGAGCCATGCCTCCACCTTTTTTATTGCACTGATTTTTTTTTGGTCTATCATGGGACTTGAACTCTGGGCCTGAGCACTGTCCCTCAGCTCTTCAGCTCAAGGCTAGCACTTGAGCCAGCACCACTTTCGGTTTTCTGGTGGTTTATTGGAGATAAGTCTCGGGGACTTTCCTGCTCGGGGTGGCTTTGAATGATGATCCTCAGATCTTAGCCTGCTGAATAGCTAGGATTATAGGCATGAGCTACTGGGCCCAGCTGCACTGATTATTTTTGAGCTAAGATCTTGCT